CATCAAAATTAAAAGCTTTTGTGATCAAAAGACATTATCCAGAAAGTAAAAAGACAATCCACAGGATAAGAGAAAATATTTACAAATTATGAATCTGATAAGAAACTTGTATCCAAAATATATAATTTTACAATTTAACAAAAAGAGATATAATTTAATTTTAGAAATGGACAAAGAAACTAAAAAGATTTATTTCTCTAAGGAAGATATAAAAGCTACCAATAACATTAAAAGATGTTCAATCATTGCATGGAAATGAAAATCAAAACCATAATAGGTAGTTCTTCATACCCATGAAGATGGCTAGAATATAAAAATCAGATAATAACAAGTGTTGACAAAAATATTGAGAAATTATACTTATACACTACTAATAGAATTGCAAAATGATGCAGCTACTTAGAAAAACAATCTGGCACTTCCTCGAACTATTAAACATAGAGTTACCATAAGACATGATAATTCTACTTCTAGGTATATACCCAAGATAAATGAAAACATATGTCCAAAAAAAGTGTACATATATTCTCATAATAGCATTTTTTGCAATACCTGAACAACTCAAATGTTCATCAGCTGACAAATGGATAAACAATTGTGGAATATCCATAAAATGCAATATTATTCAATCATGAAAAAAGGAATGAAACCCTGAAGCATGCTAGGCCAGGGATAAAACTTGAAAATATTATCTAACGGAAAGAAGCCAGTCACAAAAACATATTATATTATTTCATCCTTATAAAATATCTACAGCAGAAATCTATAGAGACAGAGAGTAGATTAGTGGTTGACTAAGCCTGGGAGGGATATGAAGGTGAGGGTAAGGGCTGCAGGACCAGGCTTCTTTTTAACATGATGAACATATTCTAAAATTGACTGTGGTGATGGTTGCACACATTCATAATTATAGTGAAATCAATGAATTATACACGTTAATGTTTTATAGAATGCATAAATTACATTTCAGTGAGACTGTTAAAATGCAGTAGAGACTAATACAATGTAATTTATCTTCTGAAGGAACACATCCCTTCTTGTCAGGCCTCTGGAGTGAAAGCAGAGTCAATGTGCATTGTTGAGCTGGGTTTGGTTGGTGGCAGCTTTGGTCTGATTCTGTTCACTCCTGGATTCAAGTGCTCTGAGGTTGTATTGGGACTGTATCTTCACCATGGTCTTCAGTCTAAGCACTGATGAGGTTCCAATACTCTCATTGATCCTCATGGAAAAGCAGACTGTTTTCTAAAGTGTGAGGGATTTCTCCTTGCTTTACACACTGTAGCCAACTTTTTCCGTTGCTGAGGAAGTCTCCTGGCTCTCCAATTGTGCCTCTTCTCTTAGGATATGTCTCTTTTCACTCTTCTGCCCTGCAAATCAGGCCGTTGAAAATCAGCTGAGAGCTCTCTATACAAGGCGCAGGCAGAGACTGTCTTGGAGGTGCTTCAGTCAGTTCTCTCGCCCCATCCCAACACTTCTGAGCTAAGCCTGGAATGCCAGAGGGAAAGGGTGGTGCTCTCAGCTCTCCTAGCCCTCCTCCAGGGGGCCTTAGCGAAAAGACTGTCATCATTGCGAGTCGCTCCCAACTTTCTTTCTCCACCCCTATTTTCACACTCAGTAAAGGTCAGACAGAATTGGTGGTAGTGCACTTTTGTTCCACGTCTTAGGCCCTGCTGGAATTTAGTCTGTAATGCCAGGCCACGTCCAGCCATTAGGAATGTCACGTAAGGCTGATTTGCTGTTATTCCTGTCTGTGGAGGATTTCTCCTTCTCCCTCCACGTCCGTTATAAGAGATCTCTCTTTGTTCTATTTTCATATAAAGGGCTTGTCCCTTTCTAAATTTTAGTTGATTTAGTTTGATTTGTAGTCTCTACTTCCTGACGGTATTTTTTTTTATTTTATTAAGTTTATTGGAGTGACACTGGTTAATAAAATTAAGTAGGTTTCAAGTGTAAAATTCTATGATACATCATCTGTATATTGCACTGTGTTTTTCAAGTCTCATTCTCTCACCATATATTTGACCCCCTTTACTCTTTTATACCTCCCCCACCTCCCTTTCACTCAGACAACCAGCATGCTGTTGTTTGTGTCTATGAGTTTTTGTTTGTTCATTTGTCTTCCTTGTTTGTTGCTTTCAGTTTTATATCCCAAATATAAGTGAAATCATACTGTTCTTGACTTTTTCTGTCTGACTTACTTCGCTTAGTATAATGTTCTCAAGATTTGTCTATGTTGTCTCAAATGGCAGTACTGCATCTTTTCTTATGCCTGGGTAGTACTCCATTGTGTACATGTACCATATCTTCTTTATTCAGTCATCTAGCAAAAGACACTTTAGTTGTTTCCAGATCATCACTAGCTATTAGGAAAATAGAAATCAAAACCACAGTGAGATACTATCTCACACCTGTTAGAATACTATTTTCAACAAGACAAATATTTCCAACATTTAACAAATGTTAGAGAGGTTGTGGAGAAAAAGGAACTCCCATTCACTGCTCACGGGAATGTAAACTGGTACAGACACTATGGAAAAGAGTATGGGGATGCCTTTAAAAATTAAGAATAGACTTACCTTATGATCAGCAATCCCTCTTCTGGGTACCTACCCAAAAACTTTAAAAACATTTATTTGTAAAGATATATGTACCCCTCTGTTTATTGCAGCATTAGTCAGGGTGGCCTGATGGTTCTTTAAAACCTATGATTATGTAGCTTTTCTAATCTATGTTGAAAGAGTGAGACTAATAGTTTTGTAGTTTCCAAACTTTGAACTGGAAATAAGACTCCTACTAAAAGTTGAGAGGAGAAAAGCAAGTTACAGAAAGGGTTCTGAGTACATAATGAGCATTTTCCAAACTTAGTTCCTATAAATAGGACTTAAATTTAAAAACAACAACAACAACAACAACAAAAACAAGCAAAAACTATCCAGGCCTCAGATTTCTCACCTCATGTACCTCTTTCTCCAAGGTAGATTCTCATAATTCAAACATAATTCCTACCTTAATTTATCAAGGAAGTTATAAATAAGAATGTGGTCATAGCCAAAGGAGGCCCTTAGAATCATATGAGTCAATTTATCTAGCCTTCTGAAGCATTGTTACATCTGTGCAGAGTATACCTCTGTCAGAGAATAGTCGATAAATGGGACTGTGTCACCTCTCTTGGTTACTATGGTAAAAATGGTCAGGCCCAATGATGCAATAAGAACTAGACCATGGAAGTATGTAACTTTTATTGCACAAGAAATTCTTTATATGTCAAAAAGATAAAACCTTAAGTACCACATGTCCCTTTCTATACTAATCATATAAAATGTGCAAGTCTGTAGACTGAAATCTTTTCATGTGAAAGATTTCTCACATTTCATTTTCCAACAACTGGCCAAGAAATATTGTGTTCCTTTATGAACAACAGAAAATCAAACAAGAAGCTGAGGTACCCACTTGTATCTGCAGTGTGGTATCTACCCCAAATATATATGGCCCAACTTCATTCTTGGATCATTAGTAAACCAAAGTGAAAATAAAATAAGCAATGTCCAAGGAAACAATGCACATTACAACTCAGTGGCTAATAATATAATAGTAATAATATATTTAAGTAGAATTTAGTATGTTTTTTACATTTAAGCCTTAATAAAACCCTGTGATTTAGCTACCACTGTTATTTTCATTTTCCAGATGGGCAAATTGAAGCAAAAAATGGTCAAGGAATTCGCTCAGGCTACAGATAATGGTTTGTGACATACAGAGCTCATAGGGAAAAAGCTGAATTATGTTCTTATTTTGTCAATTAGAGTTATTAATTATATTAATTATAATTTATCATCATAATGTTAATAAATATTAAGGACAATTCTGACAATGTACTGAATAGAATCATTTTTTAAATTGTTGACATATTATGAAAAATTCATTGCTTTCTGTCTTCCTCCTTCACATCAACTTTGCCTATATTCTGGAGTGAAAGGAAAGATGTTTGTAGAATACAGACAACCAAAGGAACTTAGAAAGAAAGCCAAATTTATAATTATCACTTTCAACAAGAAAATACAATATTGCTTTCATCCTTTTATAATTGTGCCTTCCAAACAATAAAAGAATACTTCTGTAAACTAAACAAATCTTTTCCATTACTGTGTTATGTCCATAAGCTACATGTTGAGAGCCACTTTAATGATGTATAATACTCTATTAACTTGCACTATGTTTATCAGTGAGAAACACTTCCCCAAATCAGGATTTACCCTAAAGATGTATTTCATCTGCCAGAATGTTCTCATCCCCAATCATTAAAAAAAAAATGAATTCTTTTTGGTTGAAACCAGACATGGGTGTGGTGAAAGTGAGGCTGAGGAAAAGCCTTTGGAGACAAAACATTAAAAGAAAACATTAAAAGATAAACATTAAAAGAACCATCTTAGGCGATGGTTCAAAAGAAAAAAAAATGGAGCAAGTATATTCCCTATAAAATATCCTTAAAATAAAAGGGTTGTGATAATACAAAGCAAGATAAAATTTAAAAACTATGATCATAAATGTACTTTTTTTTAATACAGAGTACTTGTCAATTATTTTAATATCAATCAAGCCTACTTGGAAAAGAATAAATTTGATAGTATACTGCAAAACCAATTTATTCTGAAGCACATATTGGGTCAAACACATAATCAGTAATAAGATATAAAAACACCAGTGCAAATAATAACAAAACACCTTCCCTTCCAGGCTGCAGCAGATTGTATCTTTACCAAAAGTATTTGGCAACATATTCCCACAATGATATTTGACACAATGCACCACGGGTGTAACATGATATAAGGCATCAGCCTAAGAAGTTGTAGGCGGTTCATTTTTCCAAAATTTCAGCTCTAGGCCTATATGTCTATATTGTTTATAAAATCCAACTCTGAAGTTAGCATATCTTAATCTATATTTCTTGTAAATCTGAGTAATACAGACTTTTAAAATAAATAATTATGACTATAGGCAGAAAATCGGACCCTGGGCACGCGGAAAGATTCTGTAGACAATGGGAAGCAAAGGAGGATTCACCCTGCTCGGGCTCCTGCTCATCGTCTCTGTCCTCTGCCATTCCGGTCATGGCCTGCAGTGCTACCACTGTCCCAATGCAATTGGTTTGTGTAATAATGCCGTCAACTGCTCATCCAACTTTGATGCGTGTCTTTCCCTCCATAGCGTGTTACAGAATCATTACAGTTGTTGGAAATACGGCGACTGCAACCCTCTCTATCTTCTGGAACCGTTCGGGCAGAACCTAACTTTCCATTGCTGCCAGAAGGACCTGTGTAACAGAAGTGGTGGGACGAGTGTAACAGGGACCACAGTTCTGCTGGTGACTCAGCTGCTCGCAGCGTTCTGGAGACTTTTCATCTAAATCGATACCGGGAGAGATTCTCCTCAATTCCCTTATTCCTTATATTCCTTGTATATTCCTTATCTCCTTTGCTGCCACATGCCAAAAGCTTTATATTTTCCAACTGGATCCTGTTGGGAAAAATTAAAACAAGCTTAAACAACTGGAGTAAGAGCGAGAGACAGATGTAGACTGGTCCCATTTGCAGAAAAGCCCATTTGCGGGAAGAAGTTTAAGAGTGAAGAGCGTGTGCTGCGAGCTAGGTTACACGCATCTTCCTCCACTCTCTGCAGGGACAGCTTGACTAGTTTCCCTGCGATCCTCAGCTCTTTCCTCTCTTGGTCTTTGGATGTAGTTACATAGTGTGATGGGAACCTGGTGGGGGCGGACTGGGGCAGAGGGGTTCTTTTCAGCAGTCTCTCAGGGAATGCTTTTGTTCTCTCCGTTTTGGGCACCTATGTTGCCATGTAGGCATGATGAATGCCCCAGACATGGGCTGTCCATCGGGGCAATGAGGTTTGAAATGCAGAGTGATTGATTGGAATGACCATTATATTCTCAACTAGTAGGTGCCTAGCAGAGTAGGAAGTAAGCTTTCCAGAGGGCAGGGCATAGAAACTCCAGGTCTGTCTTTATAGAGGTACCAGTAGCTGAAATCTGAAATTTCTTCTGCCCCTAAATTTTGCATGGGCTTTGCTGTCTTTCTCCAGAAAAACTCAACCACTCAAATTAATGATGTATTAATAAAACTGTTCCCCTCCCCTTTTCATTGGAGTGATGGCATATTTTCATTTTGTCACATACAGTTCAAGACTCAATATTTGAACATTCTATGCTACATGAGCTCTATGATATTAAGTGCACTTATTTTAAGTATTCTTAGTGGGAATACCCTTGCTCTGTGTATGTCAGTGGTATGAATGCAATGGGAAGAGCCTTTGGGGTTGTAGTTTAAGACCTTCAGATGTCATCGTAAGCAGCAACAGGCTGCTGGCATGCAGCCTGGTGACTCCTAGCCGACCTGCCACAGATTGTGTAGAATTCCTTTGGAAGGGCTGTTCGCATGCTGGCAAATGCTGAGGCTTTCAAAAGCTCTACCAGTTCCCTAGAGCAATACCCCTTTTCAAAAGGGCGAAGTGTTACTTTTTTCTTGTGGGTGCTGCTACCTCTCAAGATCTGGAAGACTTCATGACGTTTGTATTCTTATCACTTTGGTTGCATTGAACAGAATAGCCTGACTTGCTGATGAAAATGAGATTTATTGGTGAACATTTAAAAAAAAATGCTTTGATTATGTAATCTGCAAGATAATGTGGAATAAATGATGTCTTTTTGAAAATAAAATCTAAAAAAATAAATAAATAAATAAATAAATAAATATTTATGACTATAAATACAGTTTTATGTTTCAGAGTTCACAATAATTTGTCAATCAACAATAAGGTATTTAATCAGTGACTAGAATAGAGGAGTAAAATAATATTTGAGGTACCACAATAGTAAAAAAAAATTACAGCTAACCATTTAATATCCTTTATCATCTTCAAATGGGTACTGGACCTAGTTTCTAAATCCCTATTTCCATCCTCCTTTCTCCAGTCAATTTTTCATCTGTCTCCATAATTACCTTTTAAGAAAGTAAATACATGATAATCTATTATGGATATCAAAATTATTCAAATTTAAGTACTTTCTTACTAAATCCTTTCTCTACCTGTGCTTTGCTGCCTTTTTTAATTTTTATCTTTTGTTCAACTCATCTCAGTTTTAGCATTTTTTCATATTATGTTGAAGTGGCATAGAAATGCTTCAGTCCAGTCCAGCCTCCTTTGAATTTGCTCCATGGATTAACTTGTACTCTTCAGTTCCTACATAAGAATAGAGTGCTTCAGGCTAGTAAGAAACTCATATTCATTTGTATTCATGTTCGAATGATTATGTCACAACATAAAAATCATACTCATTTCTTTAATTTAAAAAATTGAATTCACAAAAACAATTATTTTGCTTAAATTATATCCAACTTTGAGTTTGGAAAATCTTTCTTGAGTGTTCAACTACGTAAAGAAACATGATAGGGGGAAAATATCAGTGGTTTAATCATTCATTAAACATAAATTCATGAAGCATAACATCATGTGAAGTGCCCTGCAAGACAGTTTTTCACTGACTCTTAATTAAATATCTTACTTTCTCCACTTGTTTTTCCTGCTATTTTAGAAAATATATATGTAATAATTATATATAATTTATATTAGCATGTTTCTTGGATTTAAAAAATTATATTCTTGGTGCATCTGGACTCAAGATGAATATCACCCCATGTAGACATTTTCTTTTCAGAAGTATGAAGAGCAGAATTCATCTTGGAAAACAGAACTGCTCCTAAATCCAGGCAGCTGTTGTTCCAGAACTATGTTCCTAGAAATAACTGAGCTGGATGAGGTATGAGCATGGGTAAACTGACAAACATTCACATGAGCCTCTCAATGCAAGGGATGATTTTTTTTTTTAAAATAATAATGTTTTTTCTCTTACGTATTTTTGTGGACCTGATTCTATCACTCAAAATATTTAAGATTTTTAGAGCAAATATATAAAGACTGTATTAATATATTACTTATTAGATTAAAAGTAAAATCTTGCAACAGAGGATGGTGGACAGAGAATGGATTTTCTAAATTGCTTTTCCTTCTATGCCCCCTCAACCTCATACCTCCCCCTGGAATATCCCCCTATGGTTGACCAAGAAGTAGAGTTTGCAAAAAGAAAGTTCTGACAAGAAGAGAAATGGGAAGAATCTATCTCTTACCTGCCTGACAGACTTGCAGGGGAAAGGGGAGACAGGAAAAAAAAAAAGAGCAATGCAAAGGTCACATTTTATCTCTCCCTTTTTCCAATTGACACCAGGATTGATGGGCATTTAGAAATATCAAAATAAATTGGAGGAAATTAAGGATAGAATGTTTTTGTTATGTTTCATGCAAAGGATTCTGGAGTGAAATTGCATCCTGTGCAGCCGATGCCAAGTCTAAAAAAGTTGATAATGATTTGGGTGGTTGCACTGACAAGTCCCTGATATTTTGCCTTTCTGAATGGAGTAGATGGGAGCAAGAAGTAGATGACTCTCTGGAGGGTCAGATTGCCAGAGGAGGCCTCCAACAAGGAGAGGGACGGAGGCTGTGAGGGAGAGCACATAAACCGAAGTCGAACAGATGTCACACCCAGGGCTAACCAGGTCTGCACTAAAATTGAAACAGCCAAGGAGGACTTTGGATCGCTGGCTAAGACAAGAGAACAAGGCCCAATTCACACTACACATTGCTGTGGTAAGGTAATTGTCAGACAGGTGAGAGTCATTTAGAAACCAGAATATTCAGAGGACACAATGCGGATTTGAGGAACTCAGCTCATCAATGCCAGAAATTTCCATAAGTCTCCTGTTCCAATACTGAAATTTTGTCTTAAAGAGCAAGTTTGGAGATGGAGGTATAAAGGAAATTTTTAAATAATTAAATGTTTGAGTTTGCCAATAGGACTAAAAATTAGATAGTCAACATTATTGCTTCTTGTATACCAACAGGTCCATAGGCACAGGCAGAAGACTATATTGATTATAGGCCAAATAAAAGTGCTAAAGCGCGCGCGCGCACACACACACACACACACACACATGAGTTATCTTGTGTATAAATTATGTCCAGGATATTAATTTGGAGATATGGATTATATGTCTTTCTATTTTAATCTACTGCTATATGACATTTGTTACTTCTTTATTCTTACATGAAAATTTAATAGTAACAAAAACAACAATAATAAATAACACTACCATGTGTTAAGAATGGTTTCAAATTATTTACATGATATATCTCATTTATTCACAAAAATCTTGGGATGATACTCTTATTATTCTTTTTTTTTCAGATTAAAAAAAAAAGGAAAAACAGATAATGGTGAAATCATTTGCCAAAGGTGTAGCGCCAAGATTCCAATCAAGGCATCCTGACTACAAACTTGCTTTTTAAATCACTGACAATGAGACTGATTTCATTACACTGTTCACTTTGCTCTGAAACTGTCAAGTAGGTTGCTTGGCATCAAATAAGAAAACAAATGTCTGGAAAAATAAAATATTTTTTATTCAGTTGATCATGTCTATGTTTTAACAAGGCAAATTTATTTTGGGTTATTTCTACATGAACTTAAGAAACTGTTGCGGCCCTGGCTGGTATGTCTCAGCAGATTGAGTGCTGGCCTGAGAACTGAAAGTTTGTGGGTCCGATTCCCAGTGAGGGCAAATGCCTGGGGTAAGGGCCAGGTCCCCAGTTGGGGGAGTGCAAGAGGCAACTGGTCGATGTATCTCTTGCACATTGATGTTTTTCTCCCTCTTTTCTTCCTTCCCTTTTCCCTCTAAAACTAACTAAATAAAATCCTTTTTTAGGAAAAGATACACTTGTTTAAACTATGTGAGTTAAAAACTCCCCTGTTTTGGCAATTCAATGCTTCTACTGGCCTGCTAATAGTTCTAAACTGTGACTGAGAAGAGGCATTCACTTCACAAATACAGAGTCTTTAATGCAATGATTAACCTCAGTCTGTCTTTTTATTATTTCCCTTATTCTACATACTACTTCTGCAATTCTCTTCCCCTTTTCTTCATTCCTTCAGTTCATTAATTTTGATCTTCTCCCTTCTCTCCATGTTTATCACATTCTTCCCACTCACATATTGATACTTTAATCAGTTTTTTAGGAGAGATATTTATCTTCATTAATTCTCTGTCCTCTTCTATCAATATCATTAGCACAACTATAGCAGAAAGAATATGAAAATAAGAAGCAGAGATTCAAAGTCATTTGATGTTGGCCAGTCATTTAATTTTTCTAGGTCTTGGTTTCCTTACCTGTGATATAAAGTGATTAAACTATGAAGTCTCTAAAATTTACTCAAGTTTAAGAATTCTTTTTTTATTAAGATTTAATTTATACATATTTTAGAGAGAGGGTAAGGGAGGGAGAGAGGGAAACATCAATGTGTGGTTACCTCTTACGTGCCCCCTACTAGGGACTGGTCTGCAACCCAGGCATGTGCCCCAGTCTTGGAATCGAACCAGTAACCTTTTGGTTTGGAGGCTGGCACTCAATCCACTGAGCCACACCAGCCAGGGACAAGTT